CTGCAGTGAGCACTGAAAAACACACTGTACCTGTCACACCTGCAGTGAGCACTGATAAATACACACTGTGCCTGTCACACCTGCAGTGAGCACTGACAGATACACACTGTACCTGTTACACCTGCAGTGAGCACTGAAAAAACACACTGTGCCTGTCACACCTGCAGTGAGCACTGATAGATACACACTGTACCTGTTACACCTGCAGTGAGCACTGATAAATACACACTGTACCTGTCACACCTCCTGTGAGCACTGATAAATACACACTGTACCTGTCACATTCCAGTGAGCACTGATAAATACACACTGTACCTGTTACACCTCCTGTGAGCACTGATAGATACACACTGTACTTGTCACACCTCCTGTCAGCAATGATAAATACACACTGTACGTGTCACACCTGCAGTGAGCACTGATAAATACACACTGTGCCTGTCACACCTGCACTGAGCACTGATAAATACACACTGTTACCTAAAACCTGTTTGGTTTGACATGCAGCCTTGCTTCTGCCAGGTTCCTTCCCATGTTTGGTTTGTTTGGAGAAGGAACTTGTCCACCTGACAAAGGGATTTAATGCTTCCTTTCCCAACCTTCCCTCCCTGGGATGAGAAACCACGTCCAGCTGAGGTGACCTGTCAGATTTTACAGAAACAAACCCCTTTTGCATCAGGTGAGGGTTCTCATTCACTGCCCAGGAATTGGGCATGTGATTCCCAGCAGGATTTCCCAGGGAACACCACCAGGTCCACAGAGATAATCACAGAAATATTGAAGTTGGAAAACACCTCCAACACCATCAAGTTCAACCCTTGTGGATTGCTGCCCATCCCTTGGCTCTGCCCGCACCTGTGCCATAGGGACAGGAGGATTTTCTGTCCTTCCTCCACTGGCAGAGAGGAGAACATCAAGGAGGTGCAGCTTCCAAGAGGGGATGTCTACAAGGAACCTCCACATCTGCCAGAGATGGGAACACCAGGCCCTGCTGCTGTGCTGCTCCCAGCTCCACATTCCAGGATGCTCCTGGAGCACTAAAGATGAGAAGCTCTGGATGGGCCAACAAGGAGAAAAGAGCCTTGAAACCCCTTGTGTTTCTTCTGGCAGTCCAACCACCAGGCTTGTAAACATGGCAGGTTTGTAAGGTTTCATTCTTAAATGATTTGTGGGCGTAACTTCCCTTCAGGGAAGATCATCTTCGGAAAAACAAATTAGCTTCATTAAGTTCAAAAGATTCAAAGTGTGCCCCCAGATTTGGTCCAGGGCACAGGAAAGGGGTTTGTGATGATTGCCTTGACACAGTGAGTTATGTGTGTGTTGTATGTGGGATCAGGGGATGGTGTGGGTGGGAAGGACCTTAAGGATCACCTGGTTCCAAAACCTCCAGGGACACCTGGGACTGTCCCAGGTGCTCCCAGCCCCAGTGTCCATCCTGACCTTGGGCACTGCCAGGGATCCATGGTGGGCACCCTGTGCCAGGGCCTGCCCACCCTGCCAGGGAACAATTCCTCATTCCCAGTATCCCATCCAGCCCTGCCCTCTGGCACTGGGAGCCATTCCCTGGGTCTGTCCCTCCATCCCTGTCCCCAGTCCCTCTGCAGCTCTCCTGGAG